TTTCCTATGCATACATAAATGCATCTGTTCTTCTAGACAAAAATAATCTCACTCTTTACATACTGGTCTGTGACCTGCTTTGCCATAGCAGGCTGGACATTTCCCCCCATGGCACACACACATCTCCCACAGTCTTCTTGGTGGCCATGCAGCATCTCATCGATCACAATTGCCTTCATTTGACAAACACTGATTGAACTCTATTGTGTACCAGGCACTGTTCTGGGTGCCGAGTATAGGGCAAAGAACAAAATGCAGTTTTGCCCTCAAGGCTTCCCTCTTCCTACTGGGAGACATCAGGCTGCTTCAGTAATTTTGTGTAATATACAAGGGTGCAGGGACCATCTTGCACGTGTATCTTTGCCTGCACGTGTGACTGCTGTTATTGGATAACTTACTTTAAAAGGAAATATGCTCTGAGCGCCTGGGTGGCTCAGTAGGTTAAGCGGCCGACTCTGGATTTCGGCTCAGGTCATGATCTCCCCAGGTCCCGGGGTTGAGCCCTGCCTTGGGCTCCACGCTCAGCGGGGATTCTGCTTGCAGACCGTCTCTCCCTCTTCCTCTGTCCCTCCCCTGCTCACGCACCTGTGCGAGCACACGCTCTCTCAAATTAAACAAATAAATCTTAAAAAAAAAAAGGAATTATGCACACTGAATTTTGGTAGTTACTGGCAGTACTGAGGAGTTTTAGAGTAGGAGGTGGTGTGGTTATATCTACAGTTATCCACCCACCCATCTAGCCGTCTACCCATCCACCCACACGCACATGCACATATACACACATATGTCACGTGTGTGTCTGGGCATCTGTCCCTTGGGCAGTCATTTGTGGAGTGTCTGCATGTGGCAGGCCCTGAAATGGACATCCAGACACCTGGATGAGCTGTCTGACCCTGTGAAGCGTGTGCTGCAGTCGACGGGAGAGAGAGGTCGACAGTGTCCCAAGAGTTTGTCCACGGCCAGACAAGGGCGAGGAGTCGCTCAGGCCTCCCATTTTCCGCAGCTGGGATTCTAGTCTCGAGGTCGTAGTCCCACTAGATCCCTCTGTTCCCTCCTCCTTCCCCATTCCCATTCCAGTGTTTATGCTCACTTACGTCCTGACTTCACAAACCAGGTGGCACTGAGTCAAGTTCAAAACCCTGGGGATACTCCGAAAGCTCTACCTGAGAAACGGCCAGTGTTGCTCAGGAAGTGCTGAGTTCTTCCTCTGCCACATGTCCCCTTTCCCCTCCTAGTGCCCTGGCTCCATGCTAGTCTGAGCGCCGATCTCCTGCTGGCATGGCTGTCCTAGCCTCCTCGAGGTGTGCCTGGCTTGGTCTTGCCCGCTGGCAACCAATCCATTCTCCACAGAGCCAGAAAGGACTTTGAAAGAGGCATTTTGGATCTTGTCACTAACCTGCTTACATCCTCCAGGGCTGTCCCTTTGGGCTGAGAATAAAATCTAAACTCCTCCCAGGCTCACACAGCCCATGTCAGCAGGCTCCTGCTTGACCCCATGCCTCTCTCCCTTCCTTCTAGCCACTTCCCTCCCATCACACACAGCTCCCCAAACACGCCAGTCCCTGCTTCTGCCCACAGAGCTTCCTGGGCTTGGGTGCTCCTCCTCCTCATTATTACTTTATTTAAAGATTTTTTAAAAATGTATTTATTTGTCAGAGAGAGAGAGAGTGTGTACAAGCAGGGGAGCAGCAGGCAGAGGGAGAAGCAGGCTCCCTGCTGAGCAAGGAGCCTGGGACTCAATCCCAGAACCCTGGGATCATGACTTGACCTGAAGGCAGATACCTAACCAGCTGAGCCACCCAGGCATTCCAAGGGTCCTCCTAATTATGTAGGCCTCGGCTGAAATAATCCCTCACACAAGCCAGGGACCCCAACCCAATCATCCTCTCTCACATTTTCCTGGGTCTTCCTCTCCAGACCACTTGTCTGAATTATCTTGTGAGGTTCTGCTTTCCTTATGTCTGCTCAGGGCCTTCGGTAGGGAGGACAGGCTATGCTTGGGGATTTGGGGGTGCTGGCCTGGGCCTCTGTTCTAACCACTTGCTCAGATCTCCATGTCCCTTCAGGCCTAAGCCATTTGCAGGTGTGGCCTCTTGAAGTCTTCACAACATTCTGAAAAGGTTGGTTTTCTTTCTATTTTTTAATTTTTAAGTAAGCTCTACACCCAGTGTGGGGCTTGAACTCATGGCCCTGAGATCAAGAGTCGCATGTTCTACCGACTGAGGCAGCCCGGTGCCCCAGGTTGGTATTCTTAGTTCCCTTTTACAGGTGAAAAACTATGACTCAGAGATTAAAAAAAAAAAAAAGTTTTAGGGTGTATCCTTCAAGATTCCTTTCTATGCATGCAAAAGTACACCCAAAGCTTGTGTGACACAGCTGGTAGTGTTAAGTCAGCCAGATTTTGAATCCTGCTCTGATGGCTTCAGGGCAAGTGGTCCTAGCCACATCACACTGAACCCTCTCTCATGAGGAGTCCCCAAGCCTCAGTGTCCCCAACCAAGGCCACACTGCCCATGCGCAGCAGAGCCAGGATTCTAATACGGGTTTGTCTCACCCCAAATGGAGCATCCTGAACCGGCACCAGGCTCTCTCCCTTCCCCAGGCACCATCTGGGAAATGAGGAAAGGGAAACTTCCTGGGCTCCCAGCCCTGAGGCTACAGAGAGATAAATACCAGACCCGAGCTAAGTCTGGCGGCTGGGCCCACCCTGCTTCCTGTTAGAGCAGTTTGGGGTTACTTATGGTCACAGCTGAAGAGCCAGGCAGGCCTTGAGACCTCCTTGGCTGGTCTTCTCCTCTGAAATCCCCTCCTGGGGTCAGGTGGGCACAGGCTCTTCGAGTGGAGCAGGCCCAGCCAGGATCAGCAAGAACACACCCCACGGAGTGGGTAGCATAGTTTAGCCCTCTAGTGCCTGTGCTCTAGGGTTAAGACCCCATTCCAGTGATCTAAACTTTCTAGGCCTCAACTACCCAGGCTGTACATGGGGATACAGAATAGCAGTGGGAGCTGCTCTTGCCATTTTTCACCTATCTGGCTCAATTGTGTTTTCTAAATTATGGGACCAACTGGAGGGAAGTAGAGATCACCACCTCATTTTAAGGAAATCAGAAATTTGAGCCCTCGGTTACACGTCTGGATCTAACTCAGCCCCAAGTCCAATCCATTTCTGTCTCCCAAATGCCTCTCAAATCCATCCTCTCGTCTTCTCTCAGCTCTGAGGTTCTGCCTTCATCATTTCTTGCCTGGATCAACACGAGGCCCCTCAGCCCTGTTTCCCATATTTTCTCCTCCACACTGCAGGCTGCTAGAGCCAGCTTCCTGCAACAAAAAACAGGCCTGGGTCATTCTCCTGTTCAAAATGTGTCAGTGGCCCCCCCTCCTTACTCTGGTCGACAAGACCCAGTAAGATCCAGCCACTACAGGAGGCCTTCTAGCTGCATCTCTTGCCCCTGCCTCTCTCAAATCCTAATGCAGCCAGATGAAGTCCTCACTTCTGTGGGGACGTTCTCTGTCCTCCAGGCCTCTAGAGGCTCCCTCTGCATGGCCTCTGCCTAACTCAGGGCATACATCCTCCCTCAACCGAGCTCCTCCAGTGCCTGTCACAGTTCTCAGCCACCAAATTTGTTGCTGCGTGTGCTCCTGGCCGTGCCGTCCTCCACCTGATCTTGGGCTTAGGCTGGAGACTGGAGGCCAGAAGGAGCTCACTGCTGGGTCCGAGCCTGGTTCCAAGCACACTGCCCCCTAACATTTGGAGACTTAATGAACTACAATGTGCCCAGGGCCTAGGAGGTACGAGGCTCTGGAAGCGGTCTCTATCCAAGGCAGTTAACGTAGTCAGAGAGACCAGCAATAACTAGCTAAGAAGCTAACCGACAACAAAAGGCTTGGAAAGCAGCTTGGGGGAGAAGCTGGGTCTCGCACAGATTGCGTGATGAACTGCTCTCCAAGTCACTACCTCGGCGAAACCTTCGCAGACACTTCCTTCTCTGTGCTCAGAACCACAGATTCCCAAGTGAAAGACCTGCTTGGTCTGGTCCTGGCCACCTCTCTGGGTGTTTTTGGAAAAATGGGACTCACTGCCTCTCGCTTTGATTTAGTGGCTAACGAGCTCACGTCTGGGGGTACGCTGGAGGGCCGTTATAGCCGGTGTTCATATCGTTTCTTCTCTTCATTGTTTCCTCCTTTCTTCTGCTCGCGCCCTCCTCCTTGCCGGACCAGCCCCGGCTTCCCGCCCCGCGACCTCCCACTGCCTTCTCGGGGCCCCTCTCCCTTTCCCTCTGCTCGGTCCGGACCGAGGAGGCGGGTCCAGCCGCGCGGCGCACCAATCCAAGCGCCCTGAGCCGCCTCTGCTTCCCGCAGTCCCGCCCTGCGCCCCCGTCCGCCAATCGCGCTCCGTTCCCGCCCCGCCAGATCGCCCAATTGCGGGCAGGCTGGGCCACCGGCGCCCCGCCCCTCCCGCGCTCGGCGGCGGCTCCGCGGGCGGCCGCTCTGGGCCTCAGCATTCTCCCAGTGGCGCCGCACAGCGTCGGGCTCGGGCTGCCGTGTCCGGAGCACAGGGGGCGGCGCTGCTGCTCGCGGGGTGCTGGACAGAGGCGGCGAGCGAGGCGGGTGCCACCGGCCGGCCGGAAAGGCGCCTCAGCTCTGCCGGGGCCCGCAGCGCGGGACCCAGGACTGAAGAGGAGGCGGCGCCCAGGCAGCCCGGGCCCGGTGCCCGGCCGGAGGGGGCCGTGGCCGGCCGTTCCCGGCCCGGAGTGTCCTCGCCGCGCCTCCCGAAGAGGCCCCCAGAGCTCCCGGTCTCCCCCTGGGGGCCCTTAGCCGCCCCGGACTCACCTGCGCGGGCCGCCGGGCGCCCAGGTGCGGGGGCGTGTGCGCGCCGAGGGCGCCTCCCCCGGCCGCCAGCGGGGCGGGGGCGGGGCCGCCCGCCTCCCTCGGCCTCACCGGTCCGCCAGCCGCGCCCGGTAGCGCGGCGAGAGCTCCCCGGAGACCGCGGTGCGGGATGCTGCCCGCCAGCGCAGCCTCTCGCGCGCTGCCCGCCGCCCCTGCCCCTGACTCCTGGGCCATGCCCCGCTGTTTACATGCCGGTGAAGCCCCCGGTCGCTCCGAGCCACTCCGAGCCCCGGCGCCTCGACGGTGAAGCCAGCCGGCCCGCGAACTGGACTGGTCGCTCAGACCTGGGCCCTCCGGACTTAGATCCCCGCCTGCTCCGCCGCCTTCGCCACCATCTGGGCGGGATCCGGCTCTGATGTTTTGAGGAGGGGGTGTGGTGTAGGGAAAGGAATCCTGGGGATTTCTGGCTTCCCCCCCTTTTTTGGCCTTCGAGGCTTCAGACTCAGGGAACTTGCTCATGGCTTTCTTGATGAAGAAGAAGAAATTCAAATTCCAAACCACTTTCACCCTGGAGGAGCTGACTGCGGTCCCCTTCGTGAACGGAGTCCTCTTCTGCAAGGTCCGGCTGCTGGATGGCGGGGATTTTGTCAGCTTGTCGTCAAGGTAGGAGCTGGGGCAGTCGGGGTAGGAGCTGGGGTAGGAGCTGCCTGCAGGGGAGGGGGGGTGGTAATGAGCCAGATCTAGCCACTTGGCACGTGGAAGCACCCCTGTGGGCCCAGAGAGTCCTGGGGATTATGTGTGTCTGGGGCAGGTTTGCACAAGGCGGGACTCAGTGATCTGGGAGGTCTGGGCCTGAGGAAACTGGCAGGGTGCCGGTCACCCCCATCTGCAGGTGACCATCTGGATAGCTGGAGGTTCATTCTTTCAGCCCTTTTGGGGGTCCTGCACACTGGCCCATTCCTCAGACTTGCACAAAGAGCCCACCAGGGTTTGTGCCTGGAGGGGCTGGGACGGGAGGAGTACTCCAGGCCACCTTGCACCCAGCTGGCCGCTTGGGCTGTCATATGATTTAGAGCCTGGGCCAGCCACAGGTTCCCAGGCACTCCAGGTCTGGCTGGAGGGAGGTGGCTGGATTTTGGCCTGTCCTCTCTGAGTGTCTGTCCTCTCCTGGCTGTGGCTGGGCTGCTTTGCATGGCAAACGCCCTTGTGGAGGAGGCTGCCACCCTCTTTGAAAGAGGCTCAGTCCAGTTTGGTTTATGGGTTCTTCCCCGTCCTGCAGGTCCAGCTGTCCAGCCCATTGTTGAGGGTGACTGCGTTCCCGAGCTGCACCACTGACTGGGCCCATCTAGGGTCATATAGTTGGGGCTTGTGGGGGGGGGGAGAGTGTCTGGGAGTTTGACAGATGGGGGTTCGAGTCTTAACGCTGTCACTTTCTGGGCCCAATACAGGTCTCCGTCAGAGTTGTGGAGAAGTTTCTGTAGATAGAGTGCAGTACAGGGCCTGGCCCAGTGCCTAGGACGTGCTGGTTCCTTTACCTAGTCTGTCCCTTTGCTCCTCAGGCCTCCTTGTGGGCCCAGTTAGCTGGAGCTGCCTTGCAGTTCTGATCTGGGGAAATTGAGGCCCAGAAAGAGGAAGTAAGTGGCTTTCCAGGGACCTCACAGGAGGCAGTTGTCAACTGAACTTGGCCTATTTGGAGACCTGTTGGATGAATCTGGTGGTCTGGGAGGATGCGGGGAAGGGGGTCTGGTTGGGGGGTGAGGTAGGCATAGAGCCTAACCCAGATTTAGAAATCTCCTGTGCAGACAGGGTGGGGTGCCTTTTCTCTGCGCTTGGGCCCACTTAGGCCTAGAGTCTCCCCAGACCGCTGGGAATTGCTTATCTGAGGAATTCAGAGAAGGGCTGCCCTTTGCTGTGGGGGCTGGTGGCAGTCCTCCGCTGCCTGGGAAGGCCGTGATCCTGATCCCGTGGCCACCCACAGAGCAGCCCAAGGTTTTGGGGAAAGGGTGTGCTCAGAGTTAGGGTCTGGGGTCGGCCACTCACTAACTGGTGACCTTGGGCTAGTTACCTAACTTCTCAGATTCCAAGAACCAGCAATTGTTGGTGTGGGGCTCCCATTTTACTAGCACTTTTTCCTTAATTGCTGGACTATGCCATGGAGTGGGGTGGAGGTGGGGGTGTGGGGGAAACTGTAGGATTATTATCCCCATTTTACAGAGGTGAAAACTGAGGCTCAGGGAGGGAGTGATTTGCCTGAGCTAATACAGCAGAGCCCAAGTTCCTTCAGGGTGTGCTTTTAACCATTACCCTGTTCTACCTCTGAGCCTTCATTTCCTTGTCAGTAAAATGGGAGAAATCATACCCACCCCTAGAGTTGTGAGGATAATTGATAACGGCTGTGCCACGTCTGGTTCAGGCAAATTGTCACAGCAGTTGTGGTTACTATGGCAGAGAGGTCCAGGCCTGAGGCCCCAGGCCTCCCACTTCTTGTCAGGTACCAGTGAGAGTCAACAGAGGGCCTACACGTGAGCTGGGGGTGGACAGGGTCTTAGATCCCACTGAGGAATACATATTTAGCCCCAGACTGAGGTGTCCTCCCAGGCACTAGGGCTGCTGTCACCCTACCTGTCAGCCTTTCCATTGCCCTAAACCTGCCCCCTCATCTGGGAAAGTCTGGAAAGTTCCAGGTTTTGGCCCATAGTCTGGATTTCTTTGCCTCCCCTTCTTCCTTCCTGGCAAGGGGCCATGGATTCCCTGATCCCAGCTGAGCCCAAACAGCCTTTCGCAGCCCTCATCCTGGATGAAACTTGACAGGGCTGTGGAGGGGGGAGCTGACACTGAGCCCCCCAGGCTAGGCACTTAGTGGGCTCTGGGTACCTGTCCGTTGCTGGGCAGGTGTGGCTGGAGGGAGCAGACAGGGACATTGGGACCTGAGGCTGCTTTAGAGCTGCTTTGGCTTTTGCCCAGGAGATAGGGGTTCCTGGGCTCCTACCTCCTCCATGCCCATCCCGCCCATCCTGTTCTGCGGCCTGGAAGGGAGCCTCGCCTCACAGCCCACCCCTCCTGATGGCCAAGGCCCCATTGTTTTGGAGTTGGGGTAGAGTCAGGGGTGATGACACCTGCTTAGATCTTGGGCCCAGATCCAGTAGTGTCCTCTTCCCAACCCCAGGGATCTCTGGGATGGCCCAGGGACTGCTGGTGGCTGCACGGGTGTTGTCTGAGTCAAGTAGGCCTGAGGCCCCACCCCTGCAGTGCCCGCCTTCCTAGCTGGAGTGTTTCCTTGTGTTGGGTGCCATGGCAACAGCCGGGTACACAGCTCCAGCCTGACCCAATTTGAGCAGGTAGAACAGGTGGTATGTCGTGCTGTTCCCCAGCCTTGTCTTTCTGAGGCCTCCTTACAAACCATAATCCTCACAGCTACCGTGTTCCGAGGGTCCATGTTCTGTGCCAGTGTTTAGCAAGCAGTGTGCCCATTAATCCTCTTGGCCTTGGGGATGGGGGAGGTGCCGAAGCCAGAGGGGTGAAGCCATCTGCCAGAAGTCACCCAGGTCGTAATGTAATTGGGAAGATAGCCTTTTTATCATTAGGGTTTAAACTGCCTTTATGTGCACTTCCTGGATGCTCGGGACCTGCTGAGCACCTTGGAGGTGTGATCCGTTGAACCCTGGAACCACCCCTTGAGCTGAGGAGGACATTGGGCTCAGGAGAGCTGAAGTGACGGGCCCATTTCACTCAGCTGGGGAGTGGCAGGGTTGTGATTTAAATTGGGCAGGCCCAGCTCCAAAGTCCTGCCTTGTCTCTGTGGCAGAGGGCTGGAGGCGGCTACAGCCCCGTGTGATGTCCCCAGACCTTTGAAGAAGGTTCTTTTCATTGGGTGGGGTGGTACAGGAAAGTCCAAATCTGGATACTTTTGAGGCATCAAGCTAGATCCTGAGGGAAAGGGGCCCTAGGGCCATAGATGGGGATGAAGCTAAAATCATTCCTGTGGATTTGGGGCCAGGTCTGGGCTGTGCCTGGGGCAAGTGGGCATTTGCCAAGGTCCCTGCTTAGAGGCCCTCCAGGCAGATGCATCCAAGTGGCATCTGGGAGGCTTTCCCAGGGGTCCTGGGAGGGATGCAGAGGTCCCAGCCAAGTCTGGTGAGTTAGGAGGCAGCACAAGTCTCTCCAGGGCAGGCTGGGTGTAGGCTTCCAGCCTTGAGCCAATCTATCCTTCAGGCAAGAAGAATCCCAAACATCCTGAGAGGTCTCTGTGCCCAGCTGGCCCGGGTCCTGTGGCCTGGCCCATGCACGTGCTGGTGGTGCCAGGGGAGGGAGCGAGAGGGAGGTGTTGATTTACCTTCTAGCAAGTCCTTTCAGGAGAAGACAGGCAGAGAGCACCTCCTTGGCCTGTGCGGTAGGGAGAGACTGGTGCAGATGAAGGTGGGGGGGCTAGGCCTGACTCCTGGCCTTGGGAGCCCAGCTGAGGGGCAGGGGAGCAGCGTGGCCTGGTTTGCCCATCAGATGATGGGTTTTGGCTGCTGAGTGGGGAAGAGGCTGGGGGCCTGACCAGCACCCTGTCGGGGTAATTGGAGTTGGCTGGGTGGGTTTTGCCAGCCCGGCTTCGAGGTGACAGGCAGTGGGAGAAGAGCGGGCAGCCTGGAGGGAAGGTTGGCAGGCAGAGTGGGTAGGTGGGTTTCCTGGTCCTGATGTGCCTGACACCACACCTAGTGCTTAGTGGCTGCTGGAAGATGGAAGTTCACAGGGCGCCCAGAAATGTAGCCAGGATTTTGGTGCCCAATACAGTGCCCTAATAGTTTTTGGCAGAATAAAAATCTAGACTTTCAGTTTCTTTTAAATTAGGTATCTGGCAAGAGTGCCACGTGGCAGTGTTTGGCCCTGAGGCTTTGTGGCTCCCTTCTCCACGGGATACCTGCTCTGGGCTCCTGACCCCGCCACACACCTTTGGATCTCCACCATAGTCTGCCGCCTTCGTTTTACCAGGTCCTGCCTGGTCCCTGGGGGGTGTAAGGAGGCAGGCAATTGTGGAGAGAGTCCTGCTGGCAAGCCACAGGGGCCACCCCAGGTAGCCAGGGGGCAGCAGGCCAGCTGCTGTGTCCCTGTGGGGTCAGATTGTGCTGCTGGTGCCTGTGGTGAAGCCCAAAGCTGCCAAGCCCAGGCCTGGCCTTGATGTCTGCTCCTTGGACCTGGCCTTTGCCGCCCACCAGCCACACCTTTGGCAGGTGCCACCCTGGCACCCCCGGCCACCCGTCTGCCAGCTTGGCAGTGGCCGAGACCTGACCTGAGGTGATCTGGCTCTGCAGAGCCAAGGCTGTTCCCCGAGGCCTGTTCCTCCTGTTGAGCTTGGTCGTGGTTTCCCAGCAGCAGTGATATCGGGTGTCTGAGCGCCCTGAGTGCCCTTGAACCCTGCTTGCTTAGTACCTAAAAGTCCCGACTCACATTCGGGAAGCTGTGCTGAGCCTTGTGACAGCTGCTAATGTCTGCTCGTGTGTCTCGGGAGCCTGAGGACTCAGTGTGTGCGGTCTGGTGGCTGCCATGGGGCGACCGTGTGGTCACTGGTGTTGCTGGGGGTGGGCGGTCTAACACCCTGGCAGCCAGAGGGGGTTTATCTTCATCCTGCCAGACAGCCACGGCGTGGTTTGAGCAGGCGAGAAACATCAGATTTGCTC